CAGATACGTTGTACTCCTGTGATCCTAGCAATACAGAGGCATAAGTAGGAAGATACAGGTTCAGGTCAGCCCTGGGAGAAAAAACAGACTCTATCTGAAAAATAACTGAAGTAAAAAGGCCCTGGGGGGAATGACTTCAGTGGTTGTGTGCCTGCTTAGCAAGCAGGAGGTCTTAGTTCAAACCCCAAAACTACCCTCCAAAATAAATTTTTTATTAAGCTTTTACAGGTACATTCACCAGAAAACTTGATCTTTGAGCTAGATAACTTAGCCCACCATTGTAGAGAATAGGGACAACTGAAGTTAATTTACATAAAGGAACTGAAAGGATCTCTGAATAGCATATCAATATTTTATTTCCAAAAGAAATACAAGTTCTCAAGAGTTTCTTCTAATGTTGAGAATGAGAAAGTGAGATTGTAGATATGGAGAATGAGTGAAGAACTGGAGTCATATTGTCGTTTTATGCAAGTACTGGGCTTGAACTCATAGCTTTTTCACTCAAGGCTGGTTCTCTGCCACTTGAGCCATATCTCCACTTCCAGCTTTTGGGTGCTTAATTGGAGATATGTCTCACAGATGTTGCTGCTCATGCTGGCTTTGAACTGCACTCTTCAGATCTCAGTTTCCTGAGTAGCTAAGATTTCAGGTGTGATCCAGCTTAAATACTCAGCTTAAAGTTATATTATCTTGTAGCTCCATGTTTTGCTTTTTGACAGGGTGTTGATTCTCTTAAATTAGGAATTTATTTTTTGGAATACAGTTTTTCAATTTTTTTTTTGTCCCTGAGCTCTTCAGCTCAAGGCTAGTGCTCTACCACTTGAGCCACAGTGCCACTGGTGGTAAGTTGGAAATAAGAGTCTCACAGACTACATTCCTGCCGGGGCTGGCAAATCCTCAGATGTCAGCCTCCTGAGTAGCTAGGATTAAAGGTGTGAGCCACCAGCGCCTGGCCAGCTTTTCAGTTTTTTTAAAAATTTTTTTGTGAACATACTGTACAGAGGGGTTACAATTACATGGGCAAGATAATGAGTACATTTCTTATCAAGCATTGCAGCCTCCAAGGGATGTGAAGGGTAAACAAAGCTTTTCAGTTTTTATTGGTTATATTATCACTTCATCAAGGCTCTGAAAGTGACCATTCTATAACCAATTCTATTTCTGTTTAATCCACGTATTATAAATAAATTTGTTCTAACCTTTGGTCAATCTATCTTATTCTTGAAATACATATGAATATTTTCATTCCTATATTATCGAGATTTCAAAATTAAGAGTCCTTTTAAAAATGGTTCAGGTGAGTTTTACAAAATATTCAGTTTTAAGATTTTGCAGAATTTTAGTCTTGTCTCTATTTTGTGTCTATTTTAGACTCATAGTTATAATTTCCTATTTTTTCAGTATACACTTTTTGTTGCTTAAAGTTGAGTAAGACCTGGTAATAATGCTTCTTTCCCAGCTAACTGTACACTCTAAACACTTCTGTTGAAGAATTGACTGAGTTATTGAACATACTTTCCTTTTCTTTTTTCCTTATACTTCTGCTTGTATTTTCTTTTCCTTTTCTTTCTTTTAAAAATTTTACTGTAAAGGTGATGAGAGAGGTTACAATTACATAAAAGTAAGGTTATTAGTACATTTCTTTTTTTTTCGTGGGGCTTGAACTTGGCCTGAGTGCTGCCCTGAGCTCTTCAGCTCAAGGCAAGCACTCTACCACTTGAGCCACAGTGCCACTTCTGGTTTTCTGGGGGTTAATTGGAGATAAGGTCTCATGGTTGTTCCTGCTTGGGCTGGCTTTGAACCTTGATCCTCAGTTCTCAGCCTCCTGAGTAGCTAGGATTACAGGAGTGAGCCACCGGCATCTGGCTACATTTCTTTTTGAACAGTGTTAACCCCTCCCTTATTTTCTCCCATTCCCCCCTACTCCCCTTCCCCCTGGTATTTTCTTTAATGTTGAAATCTCATTTGTTTGTTTGTTTTTTGTAATCTCATTTTAACAAATAAGTATTTTCATGTTAATTGTGAGCTTTAATTTTGGTCCATAGTTATATCATGTAAAAATAATTACCTATTCTATTATTTTTAAGTTTTGTTTTATACCAAATGGATTGTACTGCTACTTAACAGCATTTATTATACTAGACAGCTGTCATCTAAATTACTTTAACCTTTTGCATGAATTATTGCATTAATGTTCTCCTTAGAAAGTTAAAATGATGTGTAGTAGACACAAATTTTTCCTGAGAAGAAGTATATTTTTTGTGTTGATAAATTGCCAGTCTTTTTTTTTTGGGGGGGGGGGGGGGTCTGGTCGTGGGGCCTGAACTCTGGGCTTGGGCACTGCCCCTCAGCTCTTCAGCTCAAGGCTAGCGCTCTACCACTTGAGCCACAGCACCACTTCCAGCTTTTTTCTTTTTTCTTATGTGGTGCTGAGGAATCGAACCCAGGGCCTCAGGCATGCAAGGCAAGCTCTCTACCACTGAGCCACCTTCCCAGCCCTAAATTGCCAGTCTTTAAGTGGTCCTTTTCACATGTAGACATCAGAAACCAAATGTAGTAGGGAGTGGTGGCTTACATCTGTAATCTCAGCCACTCCTGAGGATGGCAATTCAAGACCAGCCTGGATAAAATGTTGGTGAGACCTCATCTCAACCAGTAGCTTGGAGTGGTGGTACACACCTGCCATCCCAAACATGTGGGAGGTCTAAGTAGGAGGATCATGGACTAGCTTGGCCCAGGCAAAAATGTGACAGACACCCTATCCAAAAAATAACTAAAACAAAAAGGGTTGGAGGTGTGGCTTAAATAGTAGATTACCTGTCTTCAAGTCCCAGTGCTCTACAACAAAACAAAACACACATCAAACATGACATTCAGATTTCATAGCACCAATTCTCTATATACCTTACTCTCTTCTCACTGGCTACCATATAAGAGGAGTCATTCATTTCAGCTAGGCAGCGTGAATTTTTTTTCCTATTCATAGTAGTTTTTTTTTTTTTAAGTTACTGACACTACAGCACTTTAACATAATACATCAGACTAAAAAAGCTTAATCAAGATAGATTCTTTGAAGAAACTTGGATTGAATAACTAGGAATGTTTTATATTTGCCCATTGCTCAGATGTGTGAACATTTTTTCTCATGTTCTTAAAACATAGATTTTTGGTGATTACCTTACATCTGAATTGTGTTAACATTTTGAAGCTGTATAGTGAATTTGTCACAAGAGGATTTTATTTTTAAAGGGAGAGGGAGAATGTACTTTGAGAGCATGTGCCCTACAGTAGTTGCATGTCTAACTGCTGAATCAAAACCCTCCTTTGTCTCTCATGATGTGCTCTGCAACCCTGCATTTATTCTTTGCCAGGCTTCGGTTTCTCCATTTGTAAACTGAACATAGCAGAAGACAGAAATACTGCTTGGAGTTAGTACATAGTAAACATTAGTGACCTTTTCTTTTGCTTTTAAAAATTCTTTTATTTTCATATTTACAATCTCAATGCCCTTTCATTATTATTCTACATGTATAATAGGAGTCCATAGGGACCTGAGTAGAATGCTGAACAGGATGAGCAAGTAAAGGTAAGAGTCTTAGGTTATGAAGAAGTTTTGAATGTGTAATGTAAAGGAGTTTTATTTTATTTTTGTGCCAGGTTTGGAGCTTGGACTCAAAGCCAGGACTCTCTCCCTTAGCTTTTTGTTCAAGGCTGACTCTAACACTTGAACCACATTTCCACTTCTCGCTTTTTACTTGTTTATTGGAAATGAGTTTCAGGGATTTCCTGTCCAGGTTGACTTTGAACCTCGATCCTCAAATCTTAGCCTCTTAAGGGACTAGGATTACAGGTATGAGCCACTGGTATCATACTGTAACTGTGTTTTTAGAATATGGGTCCAAGACAATGAATTGCTTTGATATCATATAACAGAAAGTCTAAATTCAGTATTAGGTAACAGTGACATTAGAAACTTTAGTTAATATATGTTCAGTTCAACAAGATTAATCAAGCATTGTCATTGTTGGTTTGAAGTAGATTATTATAGGCCTCTTCCTTGACCTCTTTAGAGCAAGCACTTTTTTTTTTTTTTAAATCATTCCTCATCCTCTTGATGTTATTTAACAGAATTAAAAGATGCCTAGGTTCCAAGGCAAGGTTCCTAGCTAGTTAGCTGTATTGGACTTCCTTCACTTCTTTCCTTCTTCCCTCCCTCCCTTCCTTCCTTCCTTCCTTCCTTCCTGCCCTCCCTCCCTCCCTTCCTCCCTCACTCCCTCCCTCCCTCTCTCTCTCTCTCTTTCTTTCTTTCTTTTTTTCTTTCTTTCTTTCTTTCTTTCTTTCTTTCTTTCTTTCTTTCTTTCTTTCTTTCTTTCTTTCTTTCTTTCTTTCTCTCTCTCTCTCTCTTTCTCTTTCTCCCTCCCTCCTTCCCTCCTTCCTTCCCTCCTTCCTTCCTTCCTTCCTTCCTTCCTTTGCCAGTATTTGACCTTTTCTTTTTTTCCTATGCCAGTCCTAGTACTTGAACTCAGGGCCTGGGCACTATCCCTTGATATTGTGTGCTCAAGGCTAGCACTCTGCCACTTAAGGCACAGCTTCACTTCATTTTGGTGGTTAATTGGAAATAAAAGTCTCATGGACTTTCCTGCCTAGGCTGACTTCGAACTGCAATCCTCAGGATTACAGGTGTGAGCCACCAGAACCTCTATTAGTATTTGTTTCTAGTAGACTCATTTTATATTTATATTCTGTGTTTAAGGATATTTGCCTATCTAGTGACTGTATAAAATAAAGCTTGCAAACAAGGGTGATTTTATATTTTTGTTTTTTATTATTTTTACTTTTCTCTCTTAATTTTTGTTTTTCTTATTATTAAAAGGTGTGATGTACAGGGAGATTACAGTTTCATAAGTCAGGTAATGAGTACATTTCTTTTTGGACATCACCCTTTCTTTGTGCTCTCCCAGTTTTTCTATTTTTTATTTTTTAAAGACTTACTAGAACTTTACAGTGTGGACCACTTCCTGAATTTGTGTGTGATTGTTGCCCAGGGGCATCCTAATCTTCTCTGTCTTGTTCAAATTTTACTTTGTTACTGCTGAAGTAAGTACTTTTTTTTTTTTTTTTGCTTTTTTTAAAAAATAATTTGTGAGTTTTAGAATTAGTACCTCAGTATTTTAGACTGTGTGTGCGTTAGTTAGCTTCTGCTTTCCTTGATGCTTCCATTGACATCTTATTGGGGGTAAACACCTAATTAAATCATTGGCCACAAGTCTTACTTATGTAGAGAAATGGAATATGGACTGCTAGGGAACTCGTGGTTGCCCTGCTGGTTAAAGCCCTGGGCCTCCCTTTGTCATTCAGAAACTTCCTTATTCAGTGAGAAACTTAACGTACTGTTAATAAGAAATTGGCTATGGTTCTCTTCTTCCATCTCTCACCAGTTCAGTTTTTTTAGATTGCATTTCTCTTTCCCATTGTTCTTACTGCACTCCTTTCCAAGTGATTGTTAAACAGAATATTGGAAATGCTTTGTGAACTGGGCACTGGTGGCTCATGCCTGTAATCCTAGCTACTCAGGAGACAGAACCACAGAATGGCAGGTAGCATTTAAGTCCACAAGACTGTATTTCCAAAATAACCAGTGGAGGCATGGTTCAAGTGGTTCAAGGCCTCTGAGTAAGCAAACAGGCCAAGCAAGCTTGAGTCTCTGAGTTTACACCACAGGACTGGCCAAAAAACAAAACAAAACAACAACAACAAAAAAAAAACAAACTTGGCACTTTTCAGCATTTAAAAAAAAAATTGTTGAAACTACAAGGAAACAAATTATACCCTTCTCTCAGTACTGCCATAATCTTTTCTGTCCCCAAAGCAGAAGCAGAATAAAAAATATACTGTATCTCAAACTTCTGTACTGTTGCTCCTTTGTTTACTTCATGTACAAATGTACAAATACCTTCCCTCTTCCCATTTACTTAAAGATATTTTACTCTTTCTTCGATGGTCCCTGAACCATTTTTCAGTTCATTTTCATTTATTAGTTTTATGCTTATTTCCAGTTGGTAGCTATTACTTCCAGATTTAATCCAGTAATGAGTCTATACTTTTTTTTGTTTTTTGTTTTTTTTTTTTTGCCGGTCATGGGGCCTGAACTCTGGGTCTGGGCGCTGTTCCTCAGTTCTTCAGCTCAAGGCTAGCGCTCTACCACTGGAGCCACAGCGCCACTTCCGGCTTTTTCTGTTTATGTGGTGCTGAGGAATCGAACCCAGGGCCTCATGCTTGCAAGGCATGCACTCTACCGCTAAGCTACCTTTCCAGCCCCATGAGTCTGTATTTGAATGAAGACAATCTCTCTGGTTCTATAAGTTTCTTTCCTAGCTTTCTTTCCTTTCTTCCTCCTTCTCCTCCCCCACCCATCCATCCCCACAGAACTCAGACATGGAGTCTCTGTTTCTAGGCTTTTCCTAGTGGCATGCTCATAGGAAGACTGGATTCTCTTTAGGTTAACGGTGGCATCTATTATTGTATGCTAAGTCTTGGCCCATGCTAATGTGTAGAGGTGTTGACCCTTCTTCAGCAATGTCTTGCCTCCTGTCCTCTCTGTTTCTCATGAGTTCTTTAAGTCTTCTCTGAAATAGTATCATAGGATGGTTAAGAGCTTGACATTGAAGGGTGCTGTCTAGCTTTGAGACTACAGCCAAGTTGACCAACCTTGTGGATCCCTATTTTTTTCTCCCTGTAATTGCCCATCTCTTGTCTGTTAGGATTAATGACACTGACAGAATCTGAACATATCAGTAACTCAAATGTATCTCTTCTAAAGAAAGTTCTGTTCTGAGGTTAAAACGTCCAGCTCTGCTAGTGGCTCCATGGTCATCAGCAACTTTGCCATTCATTATTAGCTTGTGGTTTCTATTGTGATCCTGAATCTATTGTGGTCCTGATCCTGTGGTTTCTAAGTGATCTTGAATGATTTTTCTTGGTATAACCATTCTATCTACAACTTGGGCAGTAATGTGTCAGCAAGCATGGGAAGGAAAAGAGACTTAAACCTGCTGCATCACTTTTTGCCAGAGAATATTCAGAAGTCACACTATACTTAAGTTCCCTTGTTAGAACTTGTCAACTTAATAGCCTCAGAAGACTGGGGGAAAACTGTTGCCACCCTGTATCAGGTTGGGTTTCCACCACAGAAGGAGAGAATCAGACCTGAGACTGTTACGTGTTGGGTGCTTAATGGAGATAATGCACAAATATTTTGTGCATGCCTAACACTGAGTGACACCTCAGCAAACAGGAGACATGCTTATTATTTCTTCTTTTAAAGGCTCAGATTTTCTGCACTGTCTACCTTTTCTTATTTTTTGACTTATCACATGGTTTTTTAAGGGGTACATATTGCCTCTATACCTAGACAATGGACATGATTTCTTTGCTGGAAGAGCTGGATGGTGTTCTCTTGTTGGAAAACCACTAGTTCTGTGTAAGAGGTTTTTAACTGTTTACTTCATTAGTAATAGATTTTGAAATTCCCAACTGCTTTTCCTTTTGCATTGCCTTGAAATCTACCTTGAACCAAACTACTGTTTGACACTACTTATATTTTTATTAAATTCTCTAAGTAAAGGGAGCATCTTGGTAATACTAAATAAGGGTTTTATTTAACACATAGAGAGCCTTTGAATTCACTCAACAGTTGTTAACTGCCAGGTTGGTGTATGTTTTACACAAGCACACATTGATTCTTTTCTATATAGATCCTTCATCTGATGACTTTTATAGTTCATACAATACTGTTTTGATTTATGATAGCAAGAGGTATATTCAAGCCTCCTTTTTCTTGCTTCTAATTAAGTAAAATTAGTACCCAGGTAAACTAAAATTTTAACTGAGAGACAGAGAAAAGGAAAGAAAATATGACTGAAGACCTGAGTGTCATTTAGTATAACCTTTTAGTTTATGAAATAGCTGCGTTTTTTTATACTGAACCTTAGAATGGTATTATTTGGGGGCTGCATTGTAACAATTAGACATACACATGTTGTAAATACCTGTGGTTGTGGTTTTTGGTTTTATAAATCAACCACTTATACCTTTTAGCTGTTGCACAGCATGGTGACTATGGTTAATAACAATGTACACTTTTGAAAGGACAGAAATATATGGAGTTAATGCATATGTCAATTGGTTCCATGAGCCATTCCACAATGTATACATATTTCAAACAGCACTTGAAATATATATAATTTCTTTTTATCAATTTGAAAATACTTTTTTTAAAAGGAAAGAAAATATTCCCTAAAAATTATCATTGGCTTTTAGATTCTTTGATTCTTCTAATTATCTTTATCTTACCTTTCAGCATAGCTCATGCTATCCTGAAACTTACCATAGCCCAGCCTGGCTTTGAACTTAAAATCCTCCTGCCTCTATTTCCCAAGTGCTGGGGTTGCAGGCATGTGTTGCACATCTATCTTCTCCAGTAGTTATATAATACTATTTCCATGCATGCTCTATCTACAGTCTTTTTTTCTCCTTTTTATGTATTTTTAAATACCTATATATGTACGGAAAAAATTTGAAAAATCAAAACAATTTTGTTAGGATATAGAATTAAAATATCTCTATCTCTTCTTTTGGTAAGAAAACTTAGCAGAGCTCTATCGAGTAAGTATGCAAGCAGGTATGCAGACACACAGACAAATGGCAGATAAATAGAAGGGCAGGGGCATACTCTGAGTTTGGGTGCTCTCACAAGGTGATAGAGAGACCTCTTATTTTTAAATGGTTTTAAGAATTAATAAAAATTTGTCAAGTGGTATGTATATATATACCTAAATTAAATGCAAATGGACCAATTATAAAACTACATTAAGCAATGAGCAATTATAAAATTCATAAAACTGTTGAGGTTAAAGTTAGTATCATTCAACATTTCTTAGGAATCCTAAAAAAGAGTTAATGAGCATCAGTTCTAAGGAAGCAAAATCAATAGGGTGAAATTAAGAATCAGTAGACTCGTTTGATTTTCTACTTCAATGAAGAAAAATGTGTGCTAAACATTTTAGATGACAGTAATCAAAATTGCTTTTTATAAAGTTAAGCCTTTCCTCTAGCAGGAATTTCCAAAAGTTATAATTGTTATTAAAACTTACTATGAAATGTAACAAAATGTTCTGGTTTGGAAAAATGTTTTATTGTATAAGATTAACTCCATTATATTTTATGATGGGAACAGATTTTTTTAAGATATAGTTGTCTCATTCTTTAATATTCAAATCAATATATTTTCCTAAAGCAAGTAGTGCTGAAACAAGAATAGAGTTTCAGTATTTTACATGAAAAATGCTTTGAATTTTTTAGGGGGATTTTTCCCCCTTCTGTAACAGGATTAGTGCTTAAACCCAAAGCTTTGCAAATGCCGGACAAGTACTCTATCACTAGTCCAAGTCATACATTGTCTCTTAGAAAAATTCAATTCATTTGAGTCCTTTATATCAACTTATAAAATACACATCTCCTTGAGATTTTAGTATTTTGGTTGGATCAAAGGCTTGAACCAAGGCAAGTGTGCTGAGACATGCCTGTAATCTAAGTACCCAAGAAGATAGGCTGAGACAGAAGGGTTGTGGGTTTAAGGCCAGCCTAGACAAAGAAAGAATTAAAAATAGGAAAAAGGAAACTCAACCTATTGTTTGTTTTGACAAAAAAAAAATTACGAAGAACACAATTACCTCTTTCTAAGTTATTTTAGACCAACTTTAGATTTCATCTTAGGTATCTCTTCTCAGCAAGTGTTCTTTTAACATTTCTCCCTTGCTGTTTGTTGACAGAAGCAAATTAACTTTAATATTAGCTTAAGCAAAGTATGATTAGTATATCTGCTACAGAAAAAAAATCATTACTTAAAAGCTAGACACTTAGCTTCTAAGTTGCATGCTGTTTTAGATAATCCATAATGTATCTCTGCTTTACTAGCAAGGATAATTACAATTGTGACACTATAATTTTAATCTGGGCCACCATCATTTCACTTAAAAGTATTTATTTATAATGATCAGATAGGCATATTTGTAAATTAGGTCTTAATAAGTATTAATCCTACTGATTTTAACTTACTGATAAAACAGCTACTGTGGTTATTGCTGTGGATTTTTATATGAGACTAGTAAGTAAGTCCTGAAAGCCATCATAGGTATTTTTAAACTAATAAAATGAAATCTGTCTACCTATCACAGTTTAACATATATTCTTTTTTTTTTGGGGGGGGGGGGTCCGGTTGTGGGGCCTGAACTCTGGGCCTGGGTGCTGTCCCTCAGCTCTTCAGCTCAAGGCTAGCACTCTACCACTTGAGCCACAGCGCCACTTCCGGCTTTTTTTCTTTTTGCTTGTGTGGTGCTGAGAATCGAACCCAGGGCCTCATGTATGCAAGGCAAGTGCTCTACCACTGAGCCACTTTTTCCCAGCTCCTTAACATATATTCTTGTCTTAAAGTACTTAATAATCTAAGCACTCTAATAAGCATTTACTAGATAAAAGTTCTCTGTTCTGTTCATATCTAAGTATAAAACCAACTTAATAGAAAATGAGTATTTTATGCCTATTAATCATTATCATGAAAGCAGGCCCTAACTGAAGGCCTGTGAATGTGAGGCACTTCACACACAACTCAGAATTTAAACCTTACCAAAAAAACCTGTCCAACAATCATTATTCTCCCTATTTTCCTATGAGGATGCTGAACCTTTTAAAAGTTAAGGATCTTGCTAAGGTCTAATGAGGAAGTAATTCAAGTCAATTTTGTTTTGTTTTGAACTCAAGGCCTGGGCACTGCCCCTGAGCTTTTTTGTTCAAAACTAGTGTTCTATCAATTTGAACCACAGCTCTACATCTGGCTTTCTGGAGGTTAATTGGAGATGAGAGTCTCATGGACTTTCTTGCCTGGGCTGGTTTTGAACCATACTCCCCAGGTCTCAGCCTCCTGAATAGCTAGGATTACAGGCATGAGTCAGCTAATTTAAGTAAATTTAATGGAATTTGAACCCAAGTCTTGATTCCAGAACTCATTCTTTGTACCATACTTTTCTCATAGTCTGTAGATTTTTACAAGTCAAAAAATATTAACCTCCATTTCCACAAACATGATAAGTAAAAATCTCGATTCACAAACAGACAAATTGGGATTCCCTGTAGACTAGTGAGGTGGATGATTCACTTTGTTCTTTCAATAATATGGCATGACATTAAAAACATAATTTGCTATTCCAAAATTCAGTTTTTACTGAACATTTTAGGAATACTTTCACTGTGAGATTGTATCAAGTGAGACAAACCTGTATTTTGCTGTTCTGTTTTCATACCCCTTCATAAGTGCCTGTTTTGTGCCAACATCTAGGTATTGGGGATATAAGTGGCCTGTTTTTTAAAAACCAGACATGCTTCCTGCTTGGATTCTGAATCTTGCTTGTCTCTTGTGATCCAGTAAGAAGGAAAGAGTAACAGCACCCTTCTTAGGGTCGTTTCATGATTAACTGAGATAGGTGTATTTATAGCATTGTTTTTGAAATATAATAAGACACTTAATAAGTGTTATATTTTATTAACAGCCTTTTAAAAGTAACATTTGAAAACAGGCAATCTTTAAAAAAAATAATAACCCAAACAAGTTTATTCAATACATCATTATCTTTAGTCTGGAATAAGAAAACATCTTTCTTGTATCATTTGGAAAGTGTTTCATTTGTTGTTCATGTTGCCCATATACATTAAATGTATAGTAAAATCCATAAACTATGTTCTTGTTTTACTTAAAGTTGATGTTTTCATCCCTGCATAGGCTAATTCCAAATACAAGAAAATATGTTTAGTTCCTGGCAACTATAGTGACATTCTTTTGATTGCCTTTCTGGAGAAAAAAGAAAGGAAAATAAAGTGATACTGTAACTTGTTCTTTAGGACAATATTTACTTAGCAGAAGAGGTTTGAAAAAGAAATGACTCTGTCACTGCAAAGAATATACTATGAAAGCTTCATTCTTACAATATTTTGTGTGATTCTTGAAGGGAAAATACTTCTAAATGATTTTACAAAACACTAAAATTAAGAACAAGATCTTCTCAATATATTTACAGCACATATTCAACCACTTGAATATATAAGTCTAAGGACAAGTAATATATAAGAAGTTACAAGTATAACCAACAAGCTAGTCAAACTTCCTTTAGATTTTTGTTATCTTAAAATAGTCTTATCCCTTAGAAGCCTGAGATTAACTGCATCCAGGTATAAGTCATTTAGAGATGGTCCATATAATTCAGTCTCATTTCTTCAGTGGATCCTACCAGTAATAACTTAATTATAAAAGTTAAATTCTTATGAATTGATGTGAAACCTTACTTATAGTTCTTTTGTAAAAACTTGTTCAGCTATATTTCTCAAAAAAAGATATGTTTGAGCACTTTTATTATCTCATTTTGACATTAAATTGCTATCTTTTTTTTTTTTTTTCATTACTGCAGTCCAAATGCCAAGCTAAAGTCAGTCCATACCCTAGAGAGATATAGACAGTTCAATTCTAGTCATTTAAATTTTACTGTTTTTTCTTGTATTTTCATAGTTCTTTAGTTTCTAATTGAGTAAGCTATTTAAAATAGAGAACTTACTATTTCAATTAAAAGATTTTTATAGTACACATAAAAGAAAATTGTGTAGTTGACATGGAGTTCATTGTTTTTCTTATGGGAACTTTAGGGAACTATTTAAATGATTATTGAAGCTTTCTTTCACAGCTAGCTTTTACATTACCTTAGATGTTCCAACGGCATATTAATTACAGTTCTGGAAATGAATATCAGCTTTACTTAGTCTAAATTTTTGTCAATAATCACAATTTGGTTGTATATGTCAGCCAAGATTTTCAAAATTCTTGGAGTTTATTAAAATTTTAATTTAGTTAGCAGTATTGTTTATTTTTAGACAGGTGTCCTATCACTTGAGCCACACCCCCAGCCTTTAACAGCTTTTTTTCTTTACTAAGAAAAATCCTTTTCTTTCTATGTCAATATATACTATTTTATATAATCAGATGCATAATGGCTTTTTTTAAGGGAGTAAATGAGTTCATAGAAATGAGTTAGCTATCCTTTGAAGGAGAAAGGGAAAAGGCTACACACACATTAGAAGTTCAGTTTGTAGATTAGATCATAAAAGTGGCCGTATGTGAAACAGGTTCTTTAGATACTTAAATTAGAATATAATCTTAAAAAATAAGCACATCTCAGTGAGTCTGAGATTTTGCATCAAAATAGTTGTTAAAGAAGAATTAGTAAATCTTGTTTACTGTTCATTTAGAATTCTGAGCTTAAAAATAGATACTTAGAGTGCTTGTGAAAACAGGCTCCCTTATTATTCTAATACTGTATAATATGATGAGATTAATGTACCCATGCTGTATTGGAGCTCAGTGTACAGAGATGAATTTGCTAATTTTTGTTACTTGCAAGACCAGCCAGATTACTATGGCCTAACAGTTGATTACCTCAATGCTTAATATTATGCAAAACCATCTAGTATTACTTGTTTTTAAAGTGACACATATAACTTTTTGTTACAATTATTAGTACAAGCAAAGAAGCTAACAGTGGTTTTATTTTTTATTGTCATCAAACGATCTCTGAATTTTCAGCAGAATAACATTCATTTGTAATGCCTGTATGAAATACAAAAATTGTGAATAAAGCTTTTGGTGTCTTCTCTTAAAAATCAAGTCAGTAGCCTTGAAACCTTTTAATGGGCTCATTTTGCCTCATCCTGGCACTGTTTTAGGTAGGTCAGTTTTGCTCTCAGTGATTAATTTCACCAATTCAGTTTCTTTTTAGATTTTTACCATACGTAGAAAGCATTTTAAACTGTCTAACCCTCAAAATATTTTTATTACTATTTTCTTTAAGGAACCATAGATAATTTACATGCTTTTAGTGTGTGTGCAAGTTCCCAAGACACTCTGAAAGACAGCTTAGGAAAAATAAACAAATAGCAAAAGCATTCAGTCTTTATTTACATATAGAAGACCACTGTTTTCATTTTAGGTGCAAGAGTCTGAGCAGCAGGACCACCGGAGAAGACATCTTTAGCTATAGAATTTACATACCGTCAGCTCACAGTGCTTGATTAGTAGCCAGGCTCTGTAGGACAGAGCTAGCTGAGCACGTTATTTGGGATGCCTTTGATGCTGTGGTTTTCTGAAGCTCCTAGCTGCATGCATGTTGCCTTTGTTCGTGAGACAGGTAATTACTTGATAAAATGAAGTGCATCACTGTGAACAATTGACCCTTTGGAGCAGTCCAGGCTAGTTAGCAGTCTAAATCCACACTTTAAAGCCATCATGATCGCCTCAAACTTCAGAGTTTCCAGGGTGCAGACAAAGGTGTTGTCTTCCTTTAGTACAAGTCGAGTGCCATTTTCAGACTTTATGAAGTATTTAAATTGAATGATATTTGATGATATTGAAAACTCCTCCGGAAATCCATCCAGCCTGCTTTTTGACACCAGCACAATCCGAGATTTTATTTTTGATATAAAATCAGGAGCATTACAGAAGATTCTCAGTCCTTGTGAACGATCATGATTGTCTGTTATTTCCAAGAAAGTCGTCTCTCTGGGTGTTAGCTGTTCTTTCTCCCACCTGGATTTTACTTCCTCCGCCAGTCCCTTGAGCTGAAAGAATTCTGCTTCTTGGGCAAGAAGTTGATTTTCTCGAAAACCTTCAGGCAATAGAAGTTCTCCATTTCGTAGGAAGTTTAGGACATGCCTAAAGAGGAGCCCATCTCTGTCAATGAAATAATGGCCATCAGCATCAAAGGGGCAGAGGATTTTTCCATTTACTATACCTTCCAGGAAAGTGTCTGGGTACTTGGTCAGTGTTTGTTTTTGAGTGATGTATAAATATCCACCAACATTGAGGGTCATCAATGTGGACTTGCAGCTCTTTCCTTGGTCAGTATCTTCCAGGCTGTTGTGTTTCCCTTCATATTCCTTTTCTTTTTCTCTTCTGATTATTTTGCGCTCCATTTTTGAAGATGCTATTTCAGCTTGTTCTTGGCTGTGAGGCTCTTTTTTTTTTATTTAAGAAGGAACACTACCACACAAACACGCTTTTATTCCGTCCCAGCCTGGCGATGGAATGGAGATGCTGGCAGCATTTCTGCACTGGCAGCTCCGTCTTACAGTAGGTGGCGCATGGGCTATGCACGCAGGAGCTTGCTGGAGTAAGATGAAGAGAATTTGCATTTAACTGTATCGGGGAAGGGATTTACTGTGAAAGGCTGTTATATCTATTCTTTGAAGTAAGAGTCACACAGAATAAATTGAATTTCCTCTCACCAGTTAAACAGTTACACATGTTTAATTCTCCAGCCAAATGTGAGTTTCTTGGGCAAGATTAATATTGAGTAATTCTGTTGTGTTTTTGGAAACTAATATATAATGCATAAGTATCATTTTTTAAAATAATTTATAAGTAAGAAATCTTAAGTGAAAGGAACAAAGCATGTAAAATTTTCTCTCCATTGTAAAGGCACACTGGTGTAGTGAATTTTGAGACCCAAATAGGAATGTTTAAACTTGTTATTTGTGACATTGCACTTGAATTTAATTGGATTTGCATATAATTTTGGCTTGTTGTTCAATGAGAAGATTAACATCCTTTTAAAAAAGTGTTTTGTTTTTTAATCCTAACAGGTAAAAAAAAAACTCACATAGATAGGCTTTATAGCAAACACTCAAATTTGTGAAGGGTGGGGGTATTAAGATTTCATGAGCTTATTTCAAGCTAAACCAGCTTCAATGATGCACAGACAGACCTCCATAGGAAACACAGTGTGCAATTCGTTGGGAAGAAAAGAAGATAGAGATTCAAAATACTACTATAGAACAGGTCATGACCAAGTTAGTTTTGTTTGCGTATTGTTTTACAAAGGGTAAGGTAATGATATGAGTGTGATGTTCTATCTTTCTCCTTTTTTCTTCCATTTGTCTAAAACTTAACTTCCAAAGCATTTTAGGGTTCTGAGCTATAATTTAAAAGCTTAGTTTTGGGGGTGGGGGGGAAAGAGATGGGAAGGGATAGGAAGGGGAAACAAAGGAGGAGGCAACAGTGCTTGATAAGAAATGTACTCATTACCTTCCTCATGTAATTGTAACCCCTCTGTATGGTATTTTCACAATAAAAAATAAATAAAAGCTTAGTTGTAAAAATGGTGAATGTTATCCTCAGCCTCCTATTATTGGCCTGCCTGTCTACTAAATTGCTCTGAAGAACTCATTGTTCTAAGAATTAGATTTTAGATTAGACTGATTTTTGTTTCCATTGCACTAAGGATATTTTTTAATTATCCAGTTGTATATTGGTGTTTTTAATGCCTTTTATTTTATCTAGCTAGTGTTAGATCTTCTTTTGATGTTAAAAAAACCTAAATCATTAATTGTAGCAGATACCGAATTTAACACTTATATAGCATTGAGATTATTAAGAGCACATTGAAATTGGACTGGAAAACTACAGCATATCTTCAGAAGTGGGTTTTTACTTAGAACAAAAACAAACAAAAACCCCCAGCTTCTTCATTTTACCAAAGATACAATTGCATTCTGGGAAATTTTTAGTGTTTTACAACTTGTTAAGGACAAAGCTAACACTTAGACCAGTTCTTTCTGTGAGTTATGCAGCATTTAGAAAACTTTGCTCTTATATTCTCTTATATTATAATCTTACATATACATTGACTTTGGGAGTTTTTTAGAGTCAAGTTTTCACTATATATAAAGAAATGGTCAGGGGCTAGGAATGTGGCTTAGTGGTAGAGTACGTGCTTAGCATGCATGAAGCCCTGGGTTCAATTCCTCAGTACTAGAAAAGGCCGGAAGTGGCCCTGTGGCTCAAGTGGCAGGGCACTAGCCTTGAGCAAAAAGAAGCCCAGGGACAGTGCCCAGACACTGAGTTCAAGCCCTAGGACTGGCCAAAAAAAAAAAAGAAGAAGAAAAGAAATGGTCAATATGTTTGGGAAGGTATATAACTTTGGATGTATTTATGCAAGTTTTATGTTGCTATCATAAATGGATATTGCAGGGCTGGGAAGGTGGCTCAGTGGTAGAGTGCTTGCCTTCACGCATGAGGCCTTGGGTTTAATTCCTCAGCATCACAGTAGCAGGGGAAAAAAAAGCCGGAAGTGGTGTGGCTCAAGTGGTAGAGTGTTAGCCTTGAAACTGAAGAGCTGACGGACAGCACCTAGGCCCAGAGTTCAGGCCCCACAAGCAACCAAAAAAAAAAGAAAAGAAAAGATGGATACTGCATAAGGGGAGCATTTTATAATAGACAAATCTGCAAAAGCATAATAACTTTACATATGGGCGTAGTTCTCTTTTGATGAACTTAGTGAGATACCAAGATCAGTATATAAGATTGTAATATAGTGATGGAGACTGTGCTAGGATTTTCTTGTATGGGAAGTAAGATGGTACAGTCAAATGCCATGTAAGGCTGGGTCTGCTTATGTTGACCTTATATTGTTCAGACCCTATTTTAGGGAAACCTGGTTGTATTGTTGCTGCTAGAGAATGGGCTTGCCTTGGGATAAAGAGGTAGGTCTTGAGGCTGGAAGAAGGATAGACATGGCACCTCTAGCCTCTGGCATCATCACTCCAGAGTCCCACTTCTGATTTCTGCTGCCCCAAATTTCAAAGCCACGTATGAATGTATCTTGCTTCTCCAGGCTTGCATTGATGGCCTTGACTCCAAACCTGTCCATCATGTGCCTGTTCTATGCTTTATGACTTTTCCTCCCTCTAAATTTCTCCCTGCACTGCTTGGTGTACAAACCCACCTGGGTACTATTTGTTTGCCACCCTTGGTTTGGCAGCAAGAATGTAAATGAAGCTTTGTCTTACGGCCTTACTGCAATCTGACATGAATCCCTAGGGCTTTTCTTTCCACTTCACCCCGTTTGCAGTCTTAAAAAAGGCAAACAGCATCTAGTAGGCCCTACTTTATCCACATTACCTTCATTAAAGTGGTGATTATATGCCATGGAAAGGAGCTCATTGACTGTTGGCTGCCTGTCATGGTTCACTTGGCTCTTAGTAGAAAGCCAGGTTGCAAATCTTCTCCCAGTTTACATTTACTTAGGGTGGGAGGTGCTTGTCCTAAGTAGAGAGTCAGCTCTATACAGCCCTAAACTATACAATGATGCTTCTGTACTTATACCAAAAGAAACATGCCTGGTTTATGTAACTATATGTCTTGGTCACATTGCCCATATAAGCCAGATTCTCAGTTCAGTGGCTTCACCAGAAGGACTTAAACCACACATCAAGATGCACTTGACTTGGCAGGCAAAAAGACAACTTTTTAGACACAACTGTTTTCTTTTTAGAGTCATACCCTTTTAAAAAATCAACAGATAATCTGTCTTAGATACCTGTAATTGTATACACAATAGAGCCCTTTAAAATTTAAACTGAAATTTTGAACAGGCCCTTGGTAAGAGCCTCTTCTGTAGTCAATTAAGCCCAATACCTAACCAAATTTTGGCCAAACCTCCCACTATGAGGTAATGCTAATCTACTGTCTGTAATAGGCAGAATTTATTCCAGGCTAATGAAAGGAATTTCCATCTTTTCCAACAACTCCTAAGGGGAAATGAGGTCCTTGTCATTACCATAAGCAACACAAACATCATGATAAATATGCTTGGTCCATCTAAATTCAGTGCATGGGAGAGAAGTAGAATCTTACCAGCAAGGTTTCTCTCCTGATGGGAAGATACATGGTTGGGTAATTTTCCTGAACCCAACAGATCACTCCTCTATGAAATTCCAACACTGCTCTTCAGAGAAAAGCCATAGTCTTAGGCTCTAAGTGGCGCTATGGCTGAAATGGTAGAGTGTTATCCCTGAGCAAAAGAAGCTCAGATAGTGCCCAGGCCCTGAGTTCAAGCCCCAGGACCAGTTAAAAAAAAAAGTAAAATAAATTAAATAAATAAATAAAGTGATAGAGTGCCTGCTTAACAAGCACAAGGCCTGAATTCAAACCCTAGTACAATAAAAAAAAAATTACCTAACTAATTAATTGTATCAGGTAATGTTCTGGCATTTAAAAAATCAAAGGTGTTTTCCTTATTAATGTAGTTGTATTTGAATGTTAAAACTGCTCATTTTGAAATGTAAAATAATTCTACATTATATTTTCTGAGACTAGAATCATGCTAATGTAGTACAGTGTCAACTACCTTATGCAACTGACCACAACACCTCAAACTATAGAATACTGGAACCTTCCTAGGACTCAGTGGACAAAACCTTTGGCCAGAGGTTCCATTTCAGTCCAATGAGTAACTACTTCTGCAGTGTTGAACTGAGTCTTCACAGAAGCTCGAGAAGCTTAGCTATACTAGCAAAGTATTTAGGTTTATTTAGGAGTATAGAAAAGAGTAAGTTCCATGTATCAAAAGAGCACAAATAAAAGTGACAGACTGGCTGAGACATGTGGGTAAAATTCCATTCCATGTATTGTTACTTTTCACAACAAAGGCAATCTCGAGGCCTATAAATCATATTGTTTCATATTTTAAGTTTACTTCAGAAAATCAATCTTTCAGGAAAACCTATGTTTTATAATTTGGTAAGCAGAAATCAAATCTTATAATGAAAGGGTTTTTTTGGGCTTTTTAAAATGTAGCCTAAGCATTATTAGCCACCTGGAAATTATGTTGCAACTAAATGAACAGAGCACTTTTATGAGCCATGAAATCAACACTGAAGCATAACATTGTATAGAATTCATATTTATACTGCTATTTGGCAAAATGGAATTTTACTGCACCTTTGGGAAGATGATATTTTAATATCTATTACTACTATCTACTACCACTAAATGAATGACATGATTTTGAAAACTCTCGTAAAGGTAATATTGTTGTGAAATAAGTGACCAAGGAGAGTCTTTGCTTGCAAATGCTGTACTCTGGTGCTTCCTCTGTTCCCTTGTGCACATCCTCCAAGCTTTCAGTGGTGAGCTGGGGAAGGGGCTGAGGAGGATACAGGTAGTGGCTTATGGAGCATGTCTGGTCTCACAGATGATCATTGCAGAGTAGGGATGGGGAAATCTCATGGACAATTTTCACTTTTGACACTTCTGAAACTGAGGTATGTCTTGCAGTTGCTGGCTTATCCAAGTTCAATGACAGAATTTATCTTTCTGGGTGGTATATTAAATAATAATGTTGATCACAATGGATAGCATCTTTATGCAGCTCTGAAAGTTAGTACTTCTAGGGCTGGGAAGGTGGCTCAATGGTAGAGCGCTAGCCTTGCATGCCTGAGGCCCTGGGTTTGACTCCTCAGCACCACATAAACAAAAAGAAAAAAGCCAGGAGTGGCGCTGTGGCTCAAGTGGTAGAGTGCTAGCCTTGAGCTGAAGAGCTGAGGGACAGCGCCCAGGCCCAGAGTTCAGGCCCCTCGACCAGACCCCCCAAAAAAGTTAGTACTTCTATATCTCAAATAAAATCAGCAGACAAGGAGAGGGAAAAGTTGGATGGAAAAAGGAAGGGTGAAAAGAGAGGACAGAAAGGGGAGAACAGAATTGTGTTTGCCTAATATTAAATTTTAACTGCACACTACGCAGTGAAAGCAGAGTCAAAGGATCTCATAAAGAACTAAACTAGTAGCTTGTGGTAGTTCATGCCTATAATTGTAGCTACTCAGGAGGCTGAGATCCAGAAGGCTGCAGTGTGAAGCCAGCCTAAGCCATCTCCAATTAACTACCCAAAAGCCAGGGCTAGAGGCATGGCTTAGGTGGTAGAGAATCAGCTTGCCAAACATGAGGCCATGAGTTTAACTCCAAGTACCATCAAAAAATAAATAAAAGAACTTTAAACGTTGTATAGAATTATTTCCAAAAGTAAATGTGGTAAGGAGAGCAATAATTACTAAAGATGAAATTAACAACAAATCATATTAAATTGATTTTGCAATGTGTGACAGTGAATCTCTGAAAATATTCCACGAATATGGTGATTTTTCTTCCTCTATATCTACTGTAGTGTTTGACCAAAGTATAGTACTATTGGATGAATCTGTATTCCAGAAACTTTATGTTTTCAGAATGATATTTCTGTGTTTTTGTTACTTTTGTGTGTGTGTTAAATTTTTTTCTAATTTCAAATTGAGCCATTAAAGCTAGATTCCAAAGTTTAAGGCAGGGTGCTGATGGCTTATGCCTGGAATACTAGCTACTCAGCAGGCTGAGAGCTAAGAAAAATAGTTCAAGGCCAGGCCAGGCAGGGAAATCCGTGAGATTTTTATTGCCAGTTAACCAGCAAGAAGGTGAAAGTGGAGGTATGGCTCAAGTGGTAGCATGCCAGTCTTGACAAAAGTAAGGGAGAGTACCCAGGCTCTGAGTTCAAGTCACAGTACTGGCACACACTTTTAAAAAATCAAAATGGAATTGATTGATTCATTGATTGATTGATTGATTGATTTTTGCATGTTCTGAGTTTTGGACTTGGGTCCTTAAGTCCTCCTGTTTACTCGGCAACCATTCTTCCAGCCTTCCAAAGTGTTTTTTGAAGACGTTTCAGATTATGGATTTTTAGATTAGAAGAATACAATTTAGTAAAACCCATGTACATACTTCTAAGTTTTAAAAAACAAAAAAACAGAAAAGCAGGGTGCTGGTGGTTCAAGCAGCCTGTAATCCTAGCTACTCAGGAGGCTGAGATCTGAGGATCATGGTTCAAAGCCAGCCCAGGCAAGAATGCCCGTGAGACTCTTATCTCCAATAAACCACTCAGAAAACTGGAAGTGGTGCTGTGGTAGAGCACTAGCCTTGAGCTGAAAAGATGAGGGACAGCGCCCAGACTGACCAAAAAAAAAAAAAAAAATCAGAAATTGGAGACACTTCTGGTCTCAAGCACTTTGGGTAAGATATAGTCATTTAGTTCCTCAGTTGATAGCTACCATCCTTCCTGCTCCAGTCAGTCAATCAGTCTTTTCACCACAGGTTCCATTTAGGCAACTTTACAACTTTTTTTGTACAAGAATGTTCCTCCAGTGCCTTTTTCTCCCAGCCCATAGGGACAGGTTACAAAAGCACTAATGTGAATAACCATGGAGTTCTTTTCTAGATCCAAGTCTAGGTCTCAAATTGTGGTTTCACTTTTTATTTTAAATTAGGAATCTCCAGAATACTAGTCATATTCATAATTTTAATATTATAAGAAATCACATATAAATAGGTAACTTCTTACTTATGTGACTACAGCTCTTTGCCTTTGAGTTACACAATTAGATGCTAACTTTATATATTTCTCTGAAATCTGAGCATATATTTTTGATTTCTGAAATTCCTGAAGGTCAAATAGAGATCAGGATATCACTTAACAAGTCTGAATAAAGATCACTTCTTTTTTCTTCTTAATAGCATAGGAATAGTGACTGCCTAAGTGCTTTGTTAAGCTGTCAGGTGGCAGCATCCTAAGGTTACAGGCAAAACTTCCAGGACAGTATCTTAAAGGTGAGGAAAGGAGACTACTGAAAATATTAAAAATCACTTACCTTTGGATACACCTACTCAGTAGAAGCAGAAGTATTCGATCCTTTTACAACAAGTGTAGGCAAAGGAATTGTGTACATACAAAGGGAGTTACTTCAAAAGTCTGAAAGATCAGTCCAAAGTCTTGTGCTCCAGCTCATGGTGGTTCTGTGTTTTAGCTGGAGTTGGAAGTGCCCTTCAAGGTTCCCACATTCGAATGAGCAATGTCTTTTGGGAATGAGTGGCTATAACTTCCTAATGCCTAAGGACTTCCTACATCCCTGACGTCATTACTTACATGCCAATGCTAATAAGTGCCTGTTCTGCTTACTTATTACTTTAACTTGTTAAAAAGTACCTTGCGGTCTCTCTTAGTTCTTCAACATAAAATGTATCTGTTTCAGCTATAGACTAGAAAGCTCTAGTTTAAAACAGAGGTTTGACTCTTTCAAGTCTTAGCTTTATAATTTTTTGCAGTTGTTCTAAGAAACCATTTCTCTCTAATTTATGCTCAAAGAAATTCTAAATATGACCAGGCACTGGTGGCTCATTCCTGTAATCCTAGCTACTCAGGAGGCTGAGATCTGAGGATCGCGGTTCAAAGCCAAGCCCAGGCAGGAAAATCCGTGAAACTCTTTTATCTCCAATAAACCACCAGGAAATTGGAAGTAGCATTGTAGCTAAAGTGGTAGAATGCTAGCCTTGAGCTGAAGAGCTGAGGGACAGCGCCCAGGCCCAGAGTTCAAACCCTATGACAAAAATAAAATAAAATTCTAAATATGTCTTGTTTTCTAGAAAGTATTAAATGAACAGACAAAATAAGTACTAATGAAACAATATGACATTCTAAATGGAGGAGAGTAACAGTGTTTTTATTTAGTGAAAGAAACTGGACAAGATTTAGAGATTTGATATGTAGATGTTGAGGTAACATGAAGTAACTTTACCAAAGCAATCCTGATTACAAAATTCTTGCCAGAATCCTACAACTCTTTCTAGGCTGTGTGTTGTATATTTAACCTTTAAATTTTGTTCTCAAAGGGTCAGGCATAATAATATACCCCTGTAATAGCAGCTACTCAGGATGTAGGAATTGGAATGTTTGAGATTTAAGACCACCCTGGGCAAAAAATTAACCAGAGACCCTCATATCTGGGCATGGTGGTCAGAACCTGCAATTCCACCTACTTGGGTGGCATAGGTAGGAATATTATCAGGTTGAGGCCAATCTCAGGCCAAAAAAAGCAATAAAACAAAAACCATGAGACCCTATCCAAAAAAATATTCAAAGCAAAAAACAGGTGAGGGTATGGTTAGGTGGTAGGTGAGTTAAAGCCCCCTATACCCCCCAAAAAAAGCTGGGTGCTGAAAACTCACACATAGAATCCTAGCTATTCATGAGGTTGAGATCTGATGGTTGAGTTGATATTCAAAGACAGATCCATGAGACTTTTTAATTAACTAGCAAAGGACCAGAACTAGAGGTTTGGTTTAAGTGGTAGAGTACCAGCTCTACCAGCTCTACACACACACACACACACACACACACAAATACACATATGTATATATATATACATATATATAAATAAAATAACGCCATATCCATATACTTGTTAACATACTTTGGACCACATGTATCAGAAGCCAATTGGCAAACCAAATCTAGCCAAAAAAGGGAGATAAAAAGGACGATTACAGGTGTGAGCCACCAGCTCATGTTTTTTTCACTCCCATTTTCCAAAATTTTCTTTTGGGGGGGGGCCTCTGGTCGTGGGGCCTGAACTCTGGACCTGGGCGCTGTCCCTCAGCTCTCAGCTCAAGGCTAGTCCTCTACCACTTGAGCCACAGCGCCACTTCCGGCTTTTTTTTTTTTTCTTTTTGCTTATGTGGTGCTGAGGAATGGAACCTAGGGCCTCAGGCATGCAAGGCAAGCACTCTACCACTGAGCCACCTTCCCAGCCCCAAAATTTTCTTAGCTTATGATATTGCACATATTAATAGTTAAAACTCACATTAGAGCCAAATGTGATTGCTCATGTCAGTAATTCAGCTACTCAGAAAGCTAAGGTTGGAAGGATTACAGTTCAAGGCTAGCCTAAACAAAAAGTTTGTTTATCTCAGCCAATAAAAAGCTAGGCATCAAGCTGGGCACTGGTGGATCACGCCTGTAATCCTAGCTACTCAAGAGGCTGAGATCTGAGGATCACAGTTCAAAACCAGCTTAGACAGGAAAGTCCATGACACTCTTTAACTACAATTAACCACCAGAAAATGGGAAGTGGTGCTGTGGGTCAAAGTGGTAGACCACTATCCTTGAGCTGAAGAGCTCAGGGACAGTGCCGAGGCACTGAGTTCAAAGTCCCACAACCTAAGGGAAAAAAAAAACAACCCCCCCAAAAAAAACCAACAAAACCACTGGGCACTATGGTGCACATCTGTCTTGCCAGCTACACAGGATTTTTATATTGGAAAATCAAATCCAGGCCATCCTAGGAAAATAACAAGATTCAATCTCAAAAATAATCAGAGCAATAGGGAAACTGCTGGCTTTCACACTTATATTCCAAACTACTATGAGATCACAGTTCAAAGCCAGCCTGAACAGAAAAGTCTGTGAAACTGTTATGTCTAGTGAATCACCAAAAGTTGGAAATGGAGCTGTTGCTCAAGTGGTGGAGTGCTAACCTTGAGCACAAAAAGGCTATGCAAGAGTACTTAGGCCTAGACTTCCACCCCCAGTATTGAGGGAGAGAGACAGAGAGAGAGAAACTGCAGCAATAGCTAGTAGAGTTGGCAGCAGTTCTCAAGCAGAAGAGTGCCTGCCTATCAAACTTGAAGTACTGGGTTCCAATTTCAGTGCAAAGAAAAAAAAAACTGATATAACTGAAAGCTCTTTGAGGATTTCTATGCTCCTTTTTTTTCTTTTAAATCCAAGTGTAAATATATTGGTCTTCTTTATTTTTTTGATTCAGTAGATAATGTACAGTACAATGTTTTGATATATGTATATATTGTGGAATGACTAAATCATGCTGCATTGTACTTCATAAGAACATACCAATGAGCATACATTTGAGAATACTGGGTTCATGTCTGCACTCCTGAGGGCTAGTGTCATGTTTCTTTTATCTTTGTTACTCCTGAAGTGTTTTACAAGAACCTTTTATATAAGATGTAAGAATAAAAATAATTTTTCTTATAACATTTATGTTCCTTCAGTTTGATCCAGAGAAGTAGTTTTAAGTAAAGATTTCTGTGTTAATGAAAAGGATCTGTGATTAACAGCAATGGTGTACACTTGGGTGCTCTTAAAATAAAATGTAATGTTCATAGTACCTTTTACCTGGAAATTCCAGCATTGCTTTTAAAAAGTATAGAATGGAGGCAAAAATGGAACTGTGTTCCTGTATGGCTTTTAAAACTCTGACAGCACAAATCATGAATAGGGGGCTAAGGCATAAGTAAATTGGCTTTTAAATTTTGAGAGGAAAAGAGGAGGAAAGAAACAGAGATAGAGGATTATTAAGGGTCACTCAGTTGCTAGGCAAAATGGCTGGTGATTAAAACTTGTCTCTTACAGTGCTATTTGAAAGCTATATTAGAAATGAAAAGAAAATATAATCAACAGAAAATAATGATTTGTGGAGCTGAGTTTTGTTGTTTTGTGTGAGTGACCTTGACTAAAGAAACTTTCCGGTGGGGCTGGGAAGGTGGCTCAGTGGTAGAGCACTTGCCTTGCATGCCTGAGGCCCTGGGTTCGATTCCTCAGCACCATATAAGCAAGAAGAAAAAAGCCGGAAGTGGCGCTGTGGCTCAAGTGGTAGAGTGCTAGCCTTGAGCTGAAGAGCTGAGGGATAGCGCCCAGGCCCAGAGTTCAGGCCCCACGACCGGACCCCCCCCAAAAAAATTATTTCACTTATTAGTTCAAACTGAATGTTAGGCCTTCTGCTCTATCACTTGAGTCATGCTGGCCATGAACCTTGGTCCTTCTGTCTACCTCCAAGTAGTTAGGATCACAGATGGCACCACAATCTCCAGCCTTATTTTACGTTCAGAATCATTCATCTGTGTTCCAGTGCTGGACTTTTTTCTCATACATATAAAACACTTTATATATAAAAATTTCCCAAATCTTGCCACTAAAGAATTTTTCATGACATACTGTTCAGCTTCAATGGAGAGAAAAACTGGGATATAAGATCTGTTCTTGGTATACAAAAATTCAAATTCTTGGGGCTGGGAAGGTGGCTCAGTGGTAGAGCGCTTGCCTTGCAGGCCTGAGGTCCTGGGTTCGATTCCTCAGCACCACATAAGCAAAAAGAAAAAAGCCAGAAGTGGCGCTGTGGCTCAAGTGGTAAAGTGCTAGCCTTGAGCTGAAGAGCTGAGGGACAGGGACAGGCCCAGGCCCAGGCCCAGAGTTCAGGCCCCTCAACTGGACCCAAAAAAAAAAAAAAAAAATTCAAATTCTAGTATTACTAAATTCACTCAGAAGGGGGAAATTCTTTTTTGTTATTAAGTTGAATACAAAATAACAATGGCTTTTATTTATTTTCTTCCTGGCACATTTTGCTAAAATGTAGGTATGTGTCTTCCCCATTACTAATATCAGCCACCTGATAGACTCATCATGAGATAGGTTACATGTGGTATGCTGAAGGAATCTTCAAAATATTGAATAGACACAGTGTATTCGTAAGTACAATCCCCTGAATCCTGGAGAAAAATGTAGATTTTCTAATAAGAATCACATAGGTAGGCTTCTGTGTACATTTCCACATTTTGTTGAGTGTCTCTCTGTTCTTACAGTTGGCTCAGTCTTGAAGACAACATTGTATCTTAACTCTCTTTGATTCCATGATGCTACATGTGCCTCTTGCCCTAGATGGTAGGCATGTAGTTAATGGTGGAATGAATGAAGTCATTCATCTTGAAGAGATGAATCACAAATGCATTCCTTATTATAATGCCAGAGGTTTGCTGCCTCTTCTCAAAGCCCAGGTGAATTCTCCTGGAAATATGATTGAACTTCAACTATTTCTAACTAGTCATAAGATTTCCAGCTAGTTTAAATATGAGATATGTCATGTACATATTACATAATAGGTAGACACATGCTTGGTGCCCTGTAGGCAAACCAGATACCAGCTTTTACTTCCTTGTTTTGTTTCTTC